ATATTATATTTACAATAATTTATATATAGGTGTTTACAAAAAGAATACTCTAAAATATAAAATATATAAAGAGAATATTATAAAATATAAAATATTTACAATAATTATAAATATAATTTGAATAATTGTGTTCACATATTAATAATTATAGAAAATATTTATTAAAAATAAAAAATTTTAAAAATATTAATTATAAAAAAATAATATACAAAGTGTAAGTAGTGAATAAATAAATACTTAGACGAGTACGAAGAAGGGAATGTGAATATTCACACGGTATGATGTCTCTGCTTTCCGTAGTTCCCTCCCATCTTTACACACCACCGCCTTCTTTGAAAAACATGATGCATCACAACAAATTTTCTTGATAATCAGAGTTAAGATCAAGCGGTATACATTTAAAAAATCAGAAGTCATGTAGACTTTGGAATATATATATAGTTATATAGCTGTAACCTCATCTTTACCCTGGTCGTTGTCATGTAAATATTAATTTTTTGAATTGAACGTGGAAGTCGTTATTAATTACTCTTTTTGTTTCAACATTAAAGTGCCCTGCACAGTACACTTCCCTTCTTCCTCCGTCTCCATTTTCCACCCCTTGTTTCCACAAATTATCCTGTCTTTGAATTAGAGATGGGGTTTTCTCCTTCGGTTTCTTTCTAGAAAAAGAACTAAAATTTCGCAAGATTTTGAGATGGGTTTCTTGCGTTTTCTGTTCTGTTTCATTGTTTTTCTTACGTTCTCACCTCTGCCACATGTTCATGGAAACACGGAAGTAAGAGCTTTAATGGAGCTGAAAGCCTCCTTTGACCCGACAAATAAGCTTCTGAAATCGTGGACGAATGATGGTGATCCTTGTAGCGGTTCATTCGAGGGTGTGGCATGCAATGAGGACCACAAAGTAGTTAACATTTCGTTACAGGGGAAGGGTCTCTCCGGTACAATTTCTCCGGCTATTGCAGGGCTCAAGTGTCTCTCCGGTCTGTACTTGCATTACAATTCTCTGTCTGGTGAGATACCAAAAGAGATTGCGAATCTCACTGAATTGTCCGATCTTTATCTCGATGTCAATAATATTTCCGGTAATATTCCTCAGGAGATCGGGAACATGACCGGATTGCAAGGTTAGTATTTCTCCGGGAACAACCCTAAAGCTGTTGATGAAAAGATCTGCTATTTTTCTAGTTCAAGAATTTTTTTTTTTTTTTTTGGGGTTTAATCATTGAGTTCAAAAGCAATCCCATCTTAGGAAACAGCCAAATGAATTCCTTGAAATATCTTTCATTATCTGGACCCATTTTATCTCGTCATAGAACTAAGGAATCCCATGTTTTATCTTCTTTTATATATTTACTACAATTTTTTTCCCAATTCTTTAATCTTGTTCAAGTTTGTCCTGATTTAGAGGGAAATTTCTTTGTTCTGTAGTTGTGCAGTTATGCTATAATAGGCTGACAGGGAATATTCCTAGCCAGATGGGGTCGCTCAAGAAACTAACTGTTCTTGCCCTGCAACACAACACCTTAACTGGCCAAATCCCCTTCAGTTTGGGGGACTTAGCAACGTTAAGAAGGCTTGACTTGAGCTTCAACCTCTTCTCTGGAATGATTCCTCTAAA